AAGTGATTTTTGTGAACCCTTTGCGCGTTTTCCACACCGACGATCGTTCGTCGCCGAAGTGCTTGCCTGTGGTGCCAGGTTTCACTGAAGGTCTCAAATTCTGTCGGCAATGCATCTGAAACGCAGTAAGAACTGGCACATGTTGATATGCTAGGATAGGTCTGTTGTCATGGAGTTGCATTCCTATCTGACGGTTATGTCAATTGCTTTGTGGAAACGGTTTTGTAAATCCCTTAGTAGTCTAGGTGTTGCATCCCGAGTCTCGGACCCTGCCCTCAAAGCAGCTGATGCCAAGGTTGCAATTCTTGATCTCCTCAAATTCAAAACAACTCCTTTCTGTAAAGAGGTGGAAGCCTTTGTCGAAAGAACCCGTTTCTAGAATCCGATAAACAGCTAAACAATAGCAGCTCCTTCATTGCTGGAGGGCACGACTGCCCTCCTTTTTGTGGGACAACCTGGATTGCTGCACTTCTGTCCGACCAAACTGACCCAAGCGTGCAAAAGAAAGATGGGCAAGAAGCCAACTAGAAGAAAGGTCGCCTCAATAGAGCGATCTCGTATTGAGTAGCCCTTCTCACATGTTGCTGCACAGCCTGACCAAGCTGACCTGGCCGGATATATATGTAAGCGACAGTCTGACTCCAAGCCGCCGCCGAACATGGTCATAAAATGGCAGCATCACCATTGACTCATAAGACAGTCCTGCTTTCCTGTGGCATGGTTGCTCTCATCCCTTAGATGAGAACACAATCCATCGGACTGGTGTAAACGCAATCAATCGCACCGAGGAGGATTCCGCTGACTGAGCTCAACACTGACAGGAAAATGGGGTTGGCTGCCCTTCAGCCGGATTGCACCTTCAAACGAATCCGACAATTGCTTGCTGTTGTTCCACTGCAAGAAAAAACGTCTACTGGTGGCATTGGAGTCGCGTTGGCTCCACTTCTCCAGCCCCAAATAATTCTTCGTATGTCCGCGAATCCGCACCCAACTTCTGGAATTGGGCGACCCTGTTTAGGAGGTTGCATCGGCGAGAGGCTTGTTCATCTGGATTGTCACTAAGCAACAATCAAGAACAATCAAGATGCAAAACAAGCGCCTGAAAGATCGCGTCAACGCTCCAAGGCAAGGCGATCCTTTGCCTGGACATGTTCAAGGCTGCCAAACTGCGTCAAGAAGAATGAGAGCTCTCCCATCGATTCAATGAAAGAGAAAAAACAACATCAAACAAGATGGAACCCACGAACCCGAATGCAAATACGTTCGAAAAACTAATATGTCCAAATGACACTCTTGTAGGACACTCTTGTAGGACACTCTTGTGGGACACTCTTGTAGGACACTCTTGTAGGACACTCTTGTAGGACACTCTTGTGGGACACTCTTGTAGGACACTCTTGTGGGACACTCTTGTAGGACACTCTTGTGGGATACTCCTGTAGGACACTCTTAAGGGACACTCTTGTGAGACACTCTAGTGGGACACTGTTGTGGAACAGTCTTGTAGGACACTCTTGTGGGACACTGGTGTAGGACACTCTTGTGGGACATTTCTGTGGGTCACTCTTGTAGGACACTCTTGTAGGACACTCTTGTGGGTCACTCTTGTAGGAAACTCTTGTGGGACACTCTTGTAGGACACTCTTGTGGGACACTCTTATAGGACACTCTGGTGGAACACTCTTGTGGGACACTCTTGTAGGACACTCTTGTGGGACACCCTTGTAGGACACTCTTGTGGGACACTCTTATGAGACACTCTTGTATCTGGGTCACTTGCAGGACACTCTTGTGGGACACTCTTACACGACACTCTTGTAGGACACTCTTGTGGGACACTCTTGTAGGACACTCTTGTAGGAAACTGTTGTGGGACACTCTTGTGGGACACTCTTATAGGACACTCTTGTGGGACACTCTTGTGGGACACTCTTGTAGGACACTCTTGTAGGACACTCTTGTGGGTCACTCTTGTAGGAAACTCTTGTGGGACACTCTTGTAGGACACTCTTGTGGGACACTCTGTGGGACACTCTTGTGGGACACTCTTGTGGGACACTCTTGTAGGACACTCTTGTGGGACACTCTTGTGGGACACTCTTGTGGGACACTCTTGTAGGACACTCTTGTGGGATACTCCGGTAGGACACTCGTAAGGGACACTCTTGTGAGACACTCTAGTGGGCCACTGTTGTGGGACAGTCTTGTAGGACACTCTTATGGGACACTCTTGTAGGAGGGCGCTCTTGTGGGTCACTCTTGTGGGACACTCTTGTAGGACACTCTTCCGGGACACTCTTGTGGGACACTCTTATAGGACACTCTTGTGGAACACTCTTGTGGGACACTCTTGTAGGACACTCTTGTGGGACACTCTTGTAGGACACTCTTGTGGGACACTCTTGTGAGACACTCTTGTGGGACACTCTTGTGGGTCACTTGCAGGACACTCTTGTGGGACACTCTTGTAGTAAACTCTTGTGGGACACTCTTCTAGGACGCTCTTGTGCAAAACTCTTGTGGGACACTCTTGTAGGACACTCTTGTCGGATACTCTTGTCGGACACTCTTAAGGGACACTCGGGTGAGACACTCTTGAGCGACACTGTTGCGGGACACTCTTGTGGGACACTCTTGCGGGACACTCTAGTGGGACACTCTTGTAGAACACTCTTGTGGGACAGTCTTGTAGGACACTCTTGTGGGACACTCTTGTGGGACACTCTTGTGGGACACTCTTGTGGGACACTCTTGTAGGGCACTCTTGTAGGACACTCTTGTGGGACACTCTTGTGGGACACTCTTGTGGGACACTCTTGTGTGACACTCTTGTAGGAAACTCTTGTGGGACACTCTTGTGGGACACTCTTGTGGGACACTCTTGTGGGACACTCTTGTGGGACACTCTGTGGGACACTCTTGTGGGACACTCTTGTAGGACACTCTTGTAGGATACTCTTGTGGGACAGTCTTGTAGGACACTCTTGTGGGACACTCTTGTGGGACACTCTTGTGGGACACTCTTGTAGGACACTCTTGTGGGACACTCTTGTGGGATACTGCTGTAGGACACTCTTAAGGGACACTCTTGTGAGACACTGTTGCGGGACACTCTTGTGGGACTCGCTTCCAGCTCCACAGATTGCTCCGCGTACTAAAGTTGTACTACAACGTCGCCAGTTCTCAGCTTCCAGCTCCACAGATTGCTCCGCGTACTAAAGTTGTACTACAAAGTCGCCAGTTCTCAGCTTCCAGCTCCACAGATAGTTCTCTCACCAGTTCTCATCTTCCAGCTCCCCAGATACCCCGTGTACTAAAGTTGTACTACAAAGTCGCCAGTGCTCGCCTGCATTTCGCGCGCTCGACACGCACGATCTCCGCAGAGGGTTGCGCGGGCACCGGACAAATCGCACTCTCGCCTGCATTTCGCGCACTCGACACGCACGATCTCCGCAGAGGGTTGCGCGCGCATGGGACAAATCGCGCTCTCGCCTGCATTTCGCGCACTCGACACGCGCGATCTCCGCAGAGGGTTGCGCGCGCATGGGACAAATCGCACTCTCGCCTGCATTTCGCACACTCGACACGCACGATCTCCGCAGAGGGTTGCGCGTCAAGTCTCCAAAACGAGCGTTTCGTACGAGACTTCCTCAAAAACTCACACGTCAAAGTCTGCAAAACGAGCGTTTCGTACGAGACTTCCTCCAAAAGTCAAGCGGAAACACCCATCGGAGCACACACATCACGCAGCCCTGCCAAGCAGTTTCGCGATTCCAGCCCTCCAAACAACATCCGCTCACACGCCAATCCCAATGTGACAGCGACATTCACCTCTACCACAACTCACAACCTCACGATTCCCTGCGCCTGCCACGAATCTTTCCCCATCCACACGTCTAACGCGCACAAAGTACTGCGCCTGCCACGAAATGTCACCTCCCTCATACCTCGCAACCTCACGATTCCCTGCGCCTGCCACGAGAATCGCACTTCCACGCTTCAAAAACCGCACGAAGTCCTGCGCCTGCCACGAAAAGTGACAATATCATCGCATGTGAGCTTCAACAAAATTTGCACCACACCACACGTTTGGAATGATTTCGACCCGTTCAGAGCACACTCCCATCCACCAAAATCGCCACTTCAGCTGAGACTTGTCACGAAAACCGAGCTTCGATGCCACACCCTGAAACGCAAATCCCAATGGCACGGCCACATCCAACACCCCAATGGCAGCAAATTTGAGACGCGACGACGACGACACGACGACGACAAACGACGAGAGACGACGACAAACGACGACACGACGCAAGCCATGCAAACACAGCTCCAACCCCCAGACCCCCAACTATAAACGGGAACCCTTCGCTACGCATTCGGGAACGAGAAATCGGCAGGTGACAAGCACATTTTCGTTGAAACACACCTATAGCCTGCGCTGTCCATGGCAGGAATGCACATTTTCGTTGAAACACATTTTCGTTGAAACACACATTTTCGTTGCGTGCATGGTGTGGCCTGTGCTGTTTTGAACTATATCGCGCGAGCTGGTTTGCTGTCCATGGCAGGCCGCAGAGCAAGCCTTGGCAGCAAGACTGTGAACCCTGGCACAAGCCTTGGCAAATAGATGCAAAATAAGTTTGCTGCTACTCTTCGCTTCGAGACAAATACTTTCATCTAGTATATGAAAAGTCACACCTTGAAGGGCTCTGGTCTTCCTTGCCAAGGCGAAGGCTGTGAATGGTGACCAGTCTCCAAATCTGCAGTCCACATCAACTGAGTCAGGCAGAGAATCAATCGAAGTGTTCGACTTAGCAAATCAAAATTTCAAGTCCAAAAACCCTTGCCTTCACAAGCCTGTGCTGAGCACTTTTCATACTCAACATCAGAACCTGCTGCAGGTTTTCCACAGAAGCTCTCCTGCACAACGGTGCCCATCATTGCAATATTCAAATGAGCCCTGGTGAAGCACCCAAGACGAGCACGGAAACACGCGCGTAGCAAGACCATTTTTTATCTGAAGGTGGCTGGAATCCAGGCGTTGGCCATTGCGACGTTGCTATCCAGTCTAAGTGGCTCAGCGGCTGAAGGGAATCCAGTGAATCTTTGTCCAAGTGGCTGTCCAGGCTGAGGGGTGTGAGTAAATGCTGCACCAGTTCCTGAAGTCCTGCGCGCCAGTTCCAATCGGGCTTTGAATCCGAAAAGTGCTCAACTCAACCATTCGCTTCTGCACAGGGTACTTGAGAGAGGAGGGGGTGAACGAAAGGTAGCAGGGAATCAGGCGTAACCCTGGAGGAGGTCAGCGCCCCCCCCTGTTGAACAGAAGCCCTTGCTAGAGGATCAAAGTTAAGGCAAAGCACCAAGCACTGAAGCCTTTTCGAAGCACCAAGTACTTTTCGACCATTTTTGAAGCCTAGACACTTGAACAATCATCGGTTTTTACGAGGCTTTTGGCCGGACAGCCATGGAAAACCCTGTCCATTGCGTGGTTTGAGGCCACTCTTGCTAACTGGAGGAGCTGAAAACACTGGTATTTACGGTGCTTTGTGGCTGTTGACAAAGACCTCCGCCAGGGTGGAGTTGACGGTGTTTTGTGGCCACTTTGAAGCGTACATAGCTTAAGCCCATCCCAATTTACAGGGTTTTGTGCCAGGAAGCTGCACGAGCCCGTGTAAGTACCGTCGTTTTGTGCCACTTTGAAGCCTCCAAGCCGAAAAACCAATAGAGCGTGCTTTGATGCTACTCTTGAAGACCGGAGGAGCTGAAAACACTTGTATTTACGGTGTCTTGTGGCCACTTTGAAGCGTACATAGCCCAAAACCATCGCAATTTACAGGGCTTTGTGCCGGGAAGGCGCACAAACCCGTGTAAATACCATCGTTTTTTGCCACTTAGAAGCCTCCAAGCGCCGAAAAAAGCCTTTCCGACAAAATCGTTCCAGGTTTTGGCAATTGTTCGACCATTTTTGAAGCCTTTTTTGGACACTTCAAAAACCATCGGTTTTTACGAGTTTTTTGGCCGGACAGCGACAGAAAACCATGTAAATTGCGTGGTTTGAGGCCGACTGGAGGAGCTGAAAACACTAGTATTTACGGTGTTTTGTAGCCGTTGACAAAGAGCCGCGCCAGGGTGGAGTTGAAAGGGGGGGGGCCCCCGGCCTCTAAAATGAAATGTCGGAGGACGATTCTCAGTGAGATGGGTGTCCATTTTTGCTAAAGCAAAAGGAAAACTCAGGTAGCGTAACCGCTACCTTTCGTGATCAATAAATCAGTGCAATTGCGATCTCGGTTATTTGCAGCATTGATAGGAACTAGGAACCAAGGATACTCCGTTTAGTAATTAGCCTGAAGCCTGACAAGGAATCCCAATGTACTACGAGAAATGTGATCACAATGACATTGAATGGCATCCCTGAGGGCGTGCGCAGCAGCTGTAGAGGGCAAGGTTCAAGCCTTGCCAAAAAGCTGTCCTACTTTCAAAAGCAGGACCTGAGAAATGAATAGAAACATATAGAAACCAGAATGCAGGTCCTAGTTATAAGGTAAAAGGCAAGGAGCAATTGACAAAGTACAAATACCACAAGTCCGTGTATGAACACACTGTGACCAAAGTCTACAAGGACATTGCCCAACCCGTACGCATGCTTCCAGCAGATTAGCTGGCAGCAGAAACAGCAGCGGGGCAGGGTCAGCAGCACCACCAGCACGAATAAAACATTTTTGCCTGACAGCAATCTTCCACAAACATCTTGCAAATGCAAACGATGTGTGGACTTGCATGTTCTGCATCGCTAACTCACTCACCAAAAATTGGCTCTACCAGAAAGTAAACACACCAGGAATCTGTACAGTATAAGGTTTAGCCATTCTCAAGGCCGTCTGCCCCCCCAAATCCCTAGATACTCCTATCGGCTGGCTTTCAATAGAAGAGTGAACATCGGCCCATCACGAGAATCAAGTAGCGCGTACGGGAGACCAAGAAAACGATTTAGGACCTCAGCCAAGAATCCTGAGGGCATATACGTAGAACAATGCCCCAAGTCTTTCTGTGTATATACTCCCTATCAAACCAATTCAAAACTCCTAACACAGTGCCTTACTTCAACAAGTTTCTTGACTCCTGATTGTTGTCGGTTCACTCCTGGGGGCAGATGTAGAATTCAAGAAATACCCAGGAGTGATTTCGTGGCCTTTCAATGCCTTTAGAATAGCATCGCGATCTTCTTCCTCTTTGAAATATGCTCTTGCGACGCTAAGTGCTGGTTCAGGATCATAGTGCAGAATTCGCACTCTCTGCGGACCAGGCCCAACAGACAATATGGTTGCTTTGATGTCTTCCGCCAGGGTCCAATGAGGGAAGTTCCGAATCTCCACAGGATACCATTGTTTCAGCTCTTCTTCTGGATGGATCTTCCTTTTCTTCACATTTTTCTGAATCTGGTAGCTTGCAGAAAGGATGCTGCCGAATGCCTGGCATTGAGAGGGGCGAAAATGAACCTCATGATCCTTCTTGTTTCCCGAATCAACACTCACAATATCAAGTCTTGCAATCTTGAGCTCATCTTGCAGAGCTGAGGTATCTCGAGGTCGTTGCGTGTTTTATCCGACATGTTCCGCCGCAAACACGCGGCTTGTAACTATCTGATCTGCAGCCAACAACAGAAGTTTCAAGGTTCCCGAATTTGTCGCCAAGGGCTCAAGGGTCTCAGTTGCAGCCTGAAATGCTAGAGTCTGCTAGAGTTACGGAAACATGTTTGCCAAAGTCTCCGAGTTGCCTCATGAAGGCTACAGAATCCCACCCTTCCAAGGTTCTCGGCTGCTCCAGGCTTCCAGCTTAATTCAGTCTTTCAGGTTTTGGGGTTCTAAGGTTCCAAGGCCAAAGATTGAAGCCTGTCAAATATTGAATCTCTTGCTCCTGCCTGTGCATTGTTGAGGCCTCTAATGGCAAAAGCTGCTTCCCCCGGACTCACCATGGTGACGAAGCAGGCAAGATTGATTCCGTTCGACGGAAGCATATGCACAGCCTTACAAGGAGCATTACTTGAAGAGGAACAATCTCATTTCATTGAAAGTATTGCAAGGGTTTGTGTCGCAAAGTGCCTCCACCTCTCCAAAGTCTTCGACCAGCTCTTTGACTTGCTCTTCTGTGGTGTTCACAGGTATCCTGCAATGCAAGAAGAGGTCGATCACAAACACCGCCTGCACATGGTGATGTTGGCCCAGCAGTCTTTGAGATGTAAATACAGCGGGCTTCCGCCAGGGCTTTCTTTGGGTCTACCTGCCAGCGGCAGTTCGAAACGATTGTATATAATATACATTGACAAGGGCTAACTCTGACAAGCCAACCTCCCCACGTGCTGGATAGATGAATGAAATATCTCCTGTACCTTCCACCTCCAGGAGACAACTTCATGCGGAAACTTGCCCAGCAAACAAATCCTTGCATCAAATGTGGTACAGCTTGGCCTTGTGTCTAATGCTGCAGCTGAGCACGAAAGTCTCACCCTGATCTTCAATTTCCAGCCTCAACCAAAAAGATTCTATTAAACTACGCAGCTGTCTTCTTAAACAAAGGTCCTTTGTGCCCAAACGCTGGTGCCTGTCACAAGCAAGAGCAGCACTTCGTGCACCGTCAACAGTAACGAAATCAATTGAAGCGCTGCGCTGTTGCTGACCTCGTACAGGCTTTGCAGTTCTCCTCAGCTCAATAAGGAAGTTCACTGTGCAAAGTTTGCAATGGGCTCAGCACACGCGCACTGCATTCAACCGCAAGTCTTCGGTGGCAGAGCTGCCGGTGAAAGAAACGTGCTGGCAAACTCCCCGAATAACATAACCCCTTCAGCTTGGATGGGCATCGGCTGATTGCCATGAGGACTGCTGGCAAACAGCGATGAGCCCATGCCCCACAGCGGAAGATAGGTGTGGGAGAGAGAGAGAGAGAGAGAGGGAGGAGAGAGATAGAGAGAGAGAGAGAGTAAGAGTGAGAGTAAGAGTATGGAGTGATGCGGCCAACTGGACCAGCAAAGGAGATCAAAGACTGGAGTGAAAAAGGCAGCTAAGCAGTATTACCTCCTGGTAGCAGTCAATGACCTGCTAGTGAGTCGAAATGGCCGTGATGTGATCACAGCCTGCACAGCCTGAGTTCAGAGGGAACAACAGTACTTGCCCAGTGTCCAACTTTGGACTTTGGGCAATCTGCCCAAGAAGTCCTGGCAGAACTTGACTCTAGTGTTGTAGATGCACTATGATGGGATGAGCGAAGGGGGGTGGTAGGACCAGCCACAGCTTCACATCGTCGGAGAAGAACGAGAGGTATGCAGTCGAGGAGGAACAAAATCAGCATCGAGCAACTGATAGTTGCTTTCATTTGGATTACATATCCGAAGCTGAACAACTAAGAGTCGCACAAGAACACCCCCTCCACCTGGTCTTCAGTGTTGTTGAAAATGTTGTTGAAGAAATCTCGTATCTGTTGCAGACCCCAGAGAGGAGGCAACCCCATGCAGCACAAAGACCGATCTTCTCTAAGAGCTTTGTCATGCGGATCTTGCTGCTTTAAGTCCAACCACTTTTGCCGTTCTCTGTCCTGAGCAACACAGTTTCTGAGGTCTTTAGAGTCTCAGTTCTTGGCACCTTTGACCATCTTTAACACACTCTTCGATTTTTCTTCGAACAATTTTTGGAATGCCTTTCACCCCGCAAGCCTTGAAGGCCCTTGACTCTGCAGCTCTGTCCCGATTTCCTGGAAGGTTCTGTGCAAGGAAGTCCATATTGCAAAAGAAAGCAGAGTCAGTCGCACTTGGACCCCTGCGGCTTTTTGGAACACCAATCAAGGAGGCTCTACAAGGCAACTTGCATGTGGTCTTCAGGTATGCAAAACTAAAAGTTTCATCCAAATTGGTGCATGTCAGGCTCAACGGAGACCTGCCAAACTGTTGTCAGTTTCTGATTTCAGACCTTACTGGAAATCACTATCATTTATCATACACGTTTGGGAGGTCATGGAGAAACTCTTTGGTTGCAAGTGTTTGCTTATTGTCCCAACCAATAGACAGTCCTTGGTTCTCACCCTCTTTGCTAATATCTTCCCTGATTGGTACACCTGACCATCTTCCGGCCTCACAAGTGCTGTTCTAACGGTCTGAAATAGAATTGCACAAATCTCGTCAGCCCTGCCTTCGCATCTTTGAGCCTCTTCTTGATGAGTGCTACTGGGTCTCGGCAATTCTTAAAGGATCCACGTTCAATTACCCCCAACGCTTGTTCTTGTTTCAGTGACCTCAAGAGGTCTTCTGCTTCTTGGTTCATCCACGCTTGGTTGGAGACGACAAACTTTTCCAACATATCATCAGGGCGATCCTGATGAGCATCCAACCACGCCTGCAGTGAAACTTGATCTGCCACCAGACAGGACACTTGATGTGCTCCAAAAGTGCTTAAGGCGGCCTTCCAGCAACCATGTCGCGCCCTGGATCTTAGGATTGCTATGGTATCCCTGCAGTTTGACAAGCCGCCTTCCTGCATGACCTCAGCATGAGACTCACGAAGGCGAGAGCATCACCTGGACACTGAGTTGCCTACGAACCGTTGATCTCGCTTGTCCATATTGCGAAAAAGGGCCTGGTGATTTCCCGACTCTAGCTGCAACGAAGTATAAACGGCGTGCATACATGGCACAAACACATGTTTGGTGTTTGCCTCGGCAGTGTCTGATAGAAAATGCCGGTTCTCAATGACAAAGCCATCGATTTCCTAGGAGTAGCAGCAAAAGCACATTACGCATGGCACTCTTTTCTTCATCTGACCTTTCAGGACTCTTCAAGTACCTTGATACACTCTTCCTGGCTTTTCTTGTTTCTGGTCACCAGGCAAAACAAAAGCTGAAGCACGACAAAAGCACAACGGTTTTGCCAGGTCTCCTCTTTGGTCGGCTCAGCAAATTGACATTCCCAATCTTCAGACATTGCTCAGAGCTTTGTGCCCAAAGTTTTTGTTGTGAGATGTTGTGAATTTGTGTTCGTAATGTTCTGCAAGTACCAAGACAGACTGGACATCTGTTGCACATACAATGTTTTGTTGTTCAATACTGTCATGCTCAACTTGATCCAAGAATGCTACAACAGTGACCAAAAAACATTGACTTACAGAGTAAAATCCAAATGAGTGATGAGCAGGATGGCACGACAAAGAATCCTTCCATCTGGCTAGGAGCCTGAGCCTTGTTCACCCGGATTCTCTTCCGTGTCCCAGAACCACATGTTGCACTGCACCTGCAAGGCAGGAAATTCACAAGATATGTTTGCATAATTACGGTAGACACAAGCACAATGAGTGTTCAAAGCAGGTTGGGCGGACGCTCCCCACTCTTCCCAATCATGCCATTTGCCATCGACACAGCACATTGCCTCCCAACCACAGAGTCTCCAAATGGCGTCAAGAAACATCGCAAAAAGTACAGAAGCATGTATTTTCCAGTGAAACCATGCAAATGGCGCCCAGTGCCTGTCCCCGGCAACCACTGACAGGCATGACCTCTTCGAATGGCCTCAGAAAGTGATGCCCGTGGAGCCTGCTGAAGTCAGCAAGGCGAGAAAGGCGAGCAAGGTTTGCCGAAATGCACTCTCACAGACCCTGAGACTCGGACTTTGGGTCACAAAGCTTTCCACCAAGGGATGGCATCGTGGCAATGCTGCGATTTCGACCTGCTTGTGAATGGACTCCCAGTGCTTAGTCCAATTTGCCCCAAGTCCCAAACTCTTGTAGCCAATGCCACACTCTGAGGGTGCCTTATTCTGCTCAAAAAACAACTTGAGTGGCTTAGTCTTGGTACTCATTCTATTGAGCTCTTGACCTGAACACAGTCGGACCATTCGTTCCATCCGCCCCATGCACAGTCCACACCACTTTGGCATGGACCAAACTTGCACTCATCAGCCTCAAAGCACGGGGGAACAAGGCTTTAACTGTTTGAGTTCAAAGTGCCATTTGCTTCATCCTGTTTGCATTGCGACTGCCTAGAATGCTGTGTTCTGGCAAGCAAAAAAAACAGGCAGGTTTGACAAAAAACCGCTGCCTCAAACCAGTTCGACCATTCACTAAAACACCATCAAGATCCATTCGTTGGGGGTATGAATTGCTACCTCCAGTGGGTGGCAACCACACCTTTGTTCGGGATTCTGAAAAGCGGGTAGGCCGACTTCCAGCGACTCTTTTTTGGGATTTCTGTTCATTCTGCTCTTGTTCATTCTTGTAGTCAATTGTCCAAAAGATTAGTGTTTGGCCATGTGTATGTCTCTCTGGTCCTCTTTAATGTATTGTTGCCAAATGATCGACTGGCTCACTAGACAAATCGCCTCGGTAAGTGCTCCAGTGCAGCCTTCCACACCTGGCACAGGACAAGCACAAACTGGAGCCAAGTTCGAAAAGGCAAGAACCTGAAAAGGCAAGCAAAATTGCACCTCCTACAGCCGGAGCGGTGATAGTCCGTGCTCGCTCCTCAGAAACGTGCTGTTCTAAACACCAAACAACAAACATGACGCAAAAATGGTGCCATTGTATCAGCACAATTTTGGGGGATCAAGCTCCTGAACCACGCAGCGAGGGCGATAGCAAGCCCAAGAGTATGCAAGCTGAATCGTTCTACGCCGATGCTCCGGTACGTTGGTGTCGGGACCGGGACGTGTGCGGATACGCCAGTCACGTTGATACGATACGCCGATACTTCGACAGGGCACTGCACCCTTGTGCCGATACGTTGTTCTGCCAAGAGGTCCGCGGAGAGCAAGCATGGGTATGCGCTGATATGCCGTTATGGTGACATGCAGTTGGGGCCATGCGTCGGCACGTTAGAGTGTTTTTCCCTTGTAGATCCATGCTCCTTAACTTGCGATTGGGGGTGTCGGTGTAATATAATATCAAACTGATGCGAGTTGTCACTTCAAACGCTGTTTTGCCGTCATTTGTTTCGGAATTGATGGCGACTTAGATGCTCTGGCATTTCTGGGTGCCAAACCTTGAAGCCTTCACCGCAAGAGCGCGAGCATTGACTCCATGCTGACCACTGGGAATATTGACACACCTATGGGAGCAGTGTGTCATCCAAGTGTTCAGCGGTTTTCATCGCAAGCATTTCAACAGTTTAATTCTATTTTAATTTAATTCTAATTACTTTTAATTATTGTTTCTAATAGCTTCTTGTTACTACTAGTGAGGCCCTTGTTCCTAGTAGCGATGCCAGGAGCCCCTAGTAGCGTCTTTGTTCCTCTCAGGGCCGGGCAGTGTTCGGAAAGTCCGGACATGACACCTTAGTGACTTTTAGTGACGCGGTGCATGCTGGCAACACCGCTTTCATCATCTGTCCATTTGCTTGTTGGCACGTACTACACACGCAACGTATCACCTGGCCTGCCCGCACGGCTGCGTTTCCAGCAGAGTACCGGAGCATTGTAGACCTCTTTTGGAAAGCTTGGCGTTCTCAAACACAAAAGGTGAGGTGATCGAATGCTGTTTGTCAACCAGCCTGCGTGAACATGGGGCTTGATAATTCGAGATCGCGAACTGCAAAGCGAGTGAGTACAGTGCAATTACTGCAACCTATCAATCCACTAGGGCGGGTCAGAGTTCTCTATATCAGCCTCTGAGCACCTCCACAACTCTTGGGACATGCGCTCCACCTCGGTCGGCAGCTTTCTGACATCTAAATTTCCATACATGCTATGAGCCCCGATGATCAGCGCTCTTGCGTCTCAGAACATTGCTCGCTCCAAGCAGAGAATACGTCAATGTCACAGCTGCTCGGCAATGAAACGTCCTCACAAAGACCAGTTTTTTTTGCTATAGACCCTAGGTGTGTGGGAATCACTTCCATCACAAATTATTGGATAACTTCTGTCACAAATCTCTCTATGTAAAAATATATATAGAGAGAGAGAGGGGGGGAGGCATCACCTCCACAATTGTTTGATATTACTTTACTCACAAACTTCAGTTTGCATGCGTGTACAAGCAGACTGTGGAAATTGTACAACGTTTGAGGTTTGGAAGGGGTTGGGGGTCAAGAATCCTCCTGGGCACCAAGGCGGGTAAGGGTTGTAAGTGAGCATGCAGAAAGCCAGGCAATGCACTCGTGACATCAGGAGGATTAGGCGGAAGTGAGAAGGAGCCTGGCCAGTGCAGAAGACTCAAAGGCCAAGGTGCGAAACTGGGAATGGCACGCCGCCCTCACATAGCTAGTCCACCCTCTCTAGTTGAAGTAATTTTGGATTATTCATATGCCATATAATATTGGAGTACTTTTATGCTCTAGATTCCTGCGTCTTTCCAGGCTTCTGATACTTGTCTGAACATTTAGGAAATTTGTGGAATGTCAATGACGCAAGCCAGATTCGTTGGACGCCACTTGCATGGTCAAAGAAAGACAAGATCTCAAATCAAAGCGTTTTTGGATGACAAATAAACCAATTGGGGTTGAGCGGGGGTGATGGAATTGGATGTGCAATGGAAAGTGCGTTGTCCGCGGACCACCAACAAGAACAAGAAAGTCATTGGCCTGGCATGGGTTCGAACTTACAAAAAGACATGCACCCAACGCGGAAAGTTGCTGCGAGGGTGCAGGCGGAACAGAGCGGAGTGAATATTATTGTGCTCGAATATGTGCCCTCAAATTGTTCCACACCCCCGGGCTCCTCTCCACAGCCCTTTGTTTCAACCAGTACACCTTCGCAAGGTTCTCCAGAAGCATCTGCCTCACTCGTTGAAGTTTTTCGAGAAATGAGGTCCCAGCTGAAAGGATGATCTTAGCAGGATTCGGGTCCCAAGGTCTTCATGACTCTTCAAGGCGGCTTGAGCATCTGAGATTGGAACAGGAGTGACCACTTCTCTCTTCCTCACCTGCAATTTGCAAAGATATTTTGTCGAGGACGGGTGGTGACTTCCATCACATCATTTCAAGGCCTGCTGACTTCCATCACATTCCTGCCAATCCGACCTGGCACACCCTCTGCTTGGGCAATGGAAATCAAGCAACGTGTTCTCAACTCTCAGCTCTAGGCCACTGCTCCCAGGTGCAATCCATGGCACTTGGCTGCTCGCTTGCGCACCTAGAACGTGGCGCATGGACTCGCAATGCTGCAAAAACAAAATTTTGGTCGTTGCAGTAAAAAGTGTCCGGGTTTGCCACGGTTCAAGTTCGCAGTGCTGGAGTGATTTCAAACCTTGACAGTTGCCGCTTCGCGTAATTTTTGGTCAAGTGTGGCTATAACTACAACAAAGCAGAAATACCTGGGTCTGAAACTGCCCAAGCAAGCTTTGCCACCCTGCGACGCCTTCAACGGCAGTTCAAGGATGGACGTGACCAAAAAACTACTTCAAGTACGATGGGCCTCCGTGGCAATCGACCTGGAGCGAGCCTGCTGACCTTTGCCACACCTGCCAGAGTACCGCAACCCTATTGATCCTGGGCCTGTGCCTGTATGAAGCTGCCTAGGCACACATAAGTTGAGGCTTTTGAAAATTTAACTCCAAGATTGAAAAAATTAAAGCACCGGCTGCGCGCATGCTTTTCATGAAACGTGGTTGGTTTCTCTGTTGGCAGTTCAACCCACCCGGGGCCCAAAACATGGGAATGCGTGGTAGCCAAAACCCGCCGACCCCAGCGAAGAGGGGGGGGGCGCGCCAGAGAAGAACCAGCCGTGGTGGGAGTGAGAAAGGATTCACTGAATGGAGTCTGGTGTGTGGCCTTGAGACAGAGTTGTTGACCTTGCCCGCTCTGCTGCAGTTTTCCTACGTGCACGCTTACAGTGAGGGTGCGAACTTCTTCTGATTACTTCTGACACTTGTGGTGTCTCAAATAACCCTGTGCGCAAGGTGTGTGTGGTATTCGATGTTCGTGTTTCTTTATTTTTTTCCGTGTGTCTTGTCGGGAGGCTGGGGGGCCAAATTTTGCGATTTCGAAGCTGTTTGGGCGACAGTTTTCGCCGTTTTTGTTGGGCAACTGTTGGCGG